GTTGTGGCCACTGCCTTCCATGCACCGCTGGCCTTGAAGGATTGCCCAGGCCATAGTCTGCGGGAGGGCTTAAAGTTGATAAACATGGAAAGGATTCCCTTGAAGTTTAGGGACCAGGCCTGGCTCACGTTTCATGGCAGACTATATGTAAGGGGAAACCTGAAGTACCGCTCCATGGACGACCGTGGTTGTCCAAGAGCGGAGTGTGGGGGTGAGGTGGAGTCTATGGACCACTTCTTACTTCAGTGCCCCTTTAATATAGAGGTGTGCAAACAGGTGGGGAGGGCTCTTGACATCCCTTTTCTGCACCGCATGACTTATGCGGAGTGGGTATATGGGGCTTTCGAAAGACGTGCGGGTTATGATTTGAGCACTCTTTTTCTTATTTCACCTGGAATGCACGGTGTCAGGTTTCCCTTCGGCAAAAAGTCCTCCCTGTCGTGGTGGTGGTGAATGGCATTCTTGGTGAGGTTGGGAAAGTTCGGGTTCTTGAGAAAGACAGGTTGCAGCGTAAGGCCTGGATGGAGGCGTGGAGGAACATCAGGCCTGGGCTTGTGACTTGTTGATCTCTGGGTGCGGAAGCTGTCCTTGTTTTCTTCTGTGTTTTCACTCCCTTAGTTTTTTGTGGAAGAAGTTTTGAAAAAGGGTTACAGGCATCTGAAGGGCTATGTTTCTTAGCCTTATGAGTTTTGTGACATTGTGTGTAGCATTGTAGTATGTAGGCATGATGTAGAGTATTGTCACCTGGGTAGTAATTTCCCGTTTTTGGCTAGTTGGCCTACCATATTTTCATGCAGACTTTTCAGTGGACATTTTGGCCTCTAAGGCCCATGAAGGACTCTTTATGTCGCAACCCAGCATGGGTTTATTTATTTATTTTTTTTGTTCATTACAGTACACATATTTTGCTGATGTTTTTACTTTTGTATATAATGTTTTGGATTGCGAGAAATTTTAAATAAAAATCTCCATTCCTGACACAAGCAATATCCTGAAAAAGAAGTAGGGTTGTACTTCTCAATCCTCATCAGTCTGATGGTCACATTGCTGTTTTGTAGAGTCCCATGTGCTGATACCACCTCACATCTTTGGTGTGTTGAAAAGAATGTCCCGTCCATTGGCTGCTGTGGTTCATCTTGCTGACCTTAGTCACTGCATGACACAGTGGTGATGCAGGTGTCACCAGGAGGAACACAGCATCTAGCGGGTGACTCAATATTTCACACCTGGAAGTGTGGGGTAGTATGGGGGAAAACCCTAATACCCAGTACACATGAGAAAATCGGCTTTGTTGTGTGAAAAAATGGGAGAGATCTCCTACAGATCAACCCCTTACTAGATTGCATGAGAAGAGCTGTAGGTAGTTAACCCCTTGACGCCGACGTCAAACAAATATGCGGCCTCACTGAATTGGGCTTTTTTCCGTGGGGCCGCATATTTGCATACCTGCCTTTGTGCTCGGCGCGCTCCCAGCACAAAGACCGCGGTGTCACTGAGAGCCCCGGTCCCGTTCTAATGATCGGGACCCGGGACTCCCGATTCAGGGTCACAAGATGGCTGTGATAGCCTCTGATTGGCTATCACATTGATCAGTCACTGTGCAGCCCAGGCCCTTTGTTTTTTTCTCTCTCTATGAATGGAGAAGAGAGATACATTGTATCATTATATACATTCTATTATACATTGTATCTCTCTAACTCCTGGCATAGAGAGAAAAAAACATTTTGAAAAAAAAAAAAAAAAAGAAGATAAATAAATATTAAAAAATAAAAGAAAAAATAAAGAAAAATACCTAGATCAAGGTTTGATCTAGTTCAGTGCCAGGGTTAGTGTTTGGGTCAAGGTCAGGATTTTAAAAAAGATTAGTATCAGTGCCAGTTAGTGTCAATGTCAGTGTGTTTTAGGTAAAAAAAAAAAAAGACAAAAACAAAATGCGCACTATTGATTCTGGGCTGTACTATGGGTACAAACAACAAATAACATACACATATATGGTATCTCTGCGATCGTCAAGAGCTGGAGAATTTATTTTGGGTTGTTCTATGGAGGTAGGTTATGGTAGTAACAAGAAACACATAGATAAATAAAAAAAATATTTTTTTTTTTACTATTTTGGGCCAGTTTTCCTTTGATAATAAAAAAAAATCTGGAGATTTCCATTACCATTTACCAGCAAATGAAAGCCCAATTTCTTCTGAAAAAATCAAGGTATAATCCACCTGAATGTACAAAGTAGATATGTACGGTTTTACTAACACATGTCAACGTTGCAGAATTGTGCTTAGGCATTGAGATTTGTTTTACCCTCAGGCGTGAAGGGGTTAAAATTAATTTTAATTAAAATTGTAAGAAAGGAAAAAAAATCTTTTTGGAAAATGAGGAAAAATCTGCATCGGAAACAGACAATAAAGTCTATAACCGCATTTGATCTCTGAGATTTATCCTCTCCTAGGGGACAGCAGGACTTGCACTTCTTTCCCCTCTTGCCGTGCGTGGAACAGAGACCTAAAGACGGATTTATCGGAGTCGGATTGGGACTGCATATTTAGGTACTCCCACACCTGCTCGAGTAATGTTTCGACGCAGGAAAATGGCTACAAATTGGCCACTAGATGGTATCGTACTCACTCCAGACTTCATCGGTTTAACTCATCTGTCCCTGACGTGTGCTGGAGATGTGGGACACCTGATGGCTCTTTCTTACATATTTGGTGGTCCTGTCCACTTATTCATCCATTCTGGCAGGAGGTTCACCGGTTGGTGACTTCAGTGACCACTCTGCCCATAGTTTTCTCTCCTGCTCAGCTATTGCTTCATCATACCCCCATTCCTAGGAGTCAATATTTCAAGTCCCTAGCTATGCATATGATTAACGCAGCCAGACTCTGTCTTCCTGTGCTGTGGGGCTCCACTCACCCCCCAACTATACGCGATTGGCTCAATCGAGTAGGCAGAGTGGCGGAAATGGAGGAACTGATTGCGACTGCACTTGACATGCCAACTAAATACTCACATGTTTGGGCCTGCTGGACCCACTTTGTAACTACCCCTGAATTCAGATCTCTCATGGGTCGGGATACCTGATTGAGCTCAGCCCTACCTCTGGTTATGCCCTGGGTTCGTTCATAATCTGCGTGGTTATGACCTCCTTTACGATAATTTATATTTGCCTGCTTAGCTTTGGTGAGTGTTTAAGTTCTTGACACTCTCATTTATGATTTCCAATAGCTATATTGACACAAACTTCGCAGCCCAGACCTTTCGCTTCCCTTGCTTCGCCCCCCCCCCTTTTTTTTTTTTTTTTTTTTGCCTCTTATCCCCCCTTCTCCCCCCTCCCCCTACTCTCCCCCCCCCCCTTTCCCCCCCCCCTCTTTTTTTTTTTTTTTTTTTTTCTCTTTCTTCCTCTTTCTCTCCTCTCTCTCTACTATGACTCCCATTCTTTTCCTTTTCTTGTCCTTTTCTTTCTTCTTCTTTTTTTCTTTCTTTCTTTCTCGACAAGCTCTCAGTCTTCGATCAGGCTTAGTCTTCGTTTCATTCAGGAATACTTGGTATATGGTTAGCTTATCTCCTCTAGGGTAGTCAATGGTACTCACGACATCTTCTCTTATACTGCGATGCTCAATTAGCCTTATGATAGCGTACTGCTTTTGGTTTAGACTCCGAAGGTTCATTTCCTCCATGCATAGGCCAGTACGCCAATACTCAATTGTTGGAAGTAAGCTGTGATTACCTTCTATATTGTACATTTGTGAAACTTGAGTACTACAGGCCTATCTCTGCCGTACCTTGACATGCTTATGTTTTTCACAGTGTCGCACTCTACCATGTTGTTTCGTCTTGTATTTTGGTTTAAGCTGTGTCTATGGCCTGATTGATGCTGTGTGTGCATTTCTTTATATTTTCCTGTAACATGTTGTCACTTCTAAATAAACTTTTATGGAATAAAAAAAATAAAGTCTATAACAAAGGTATAGCGAGCGCTACAAGCAAATTAGTGTAAGCAGCTAGAACACCAAGAAAGGTAACCAAACAACCTTACAATAATCAATAAAAGTAAAAATGATAGGTGCAGCGCTTGAATCAGAGTGCAAAAGGAATGCTCTGTAAAGGTATATATGCATATAAATATAAATATAAATGCTCAAAAAGTAGGTAAACAGTGCGCTAATCAATAGGAGATGTTAAAGCACACACACAGTCCACATCCCAAGTCAATGGTTGTAGGAGGGGTGAAAAGAATCCTAGGAGCGAATAGAGTGCGCACTTACCAGAACTGCGTATATAATACGTATGTAGAGAGGTAAACTTTTCAGAATGTCTCTGGCATCAAAGCTCCGGTCAGATCACACTCCACACCATCCTCTGTCTCACCACGAAGAGCAGTACTCGTCAAACAGTATGGGCGTCAAAGGTACTCCTTAGGCACTGTGGGAGATGGTGCTCTCAAGGAGAGCCCAATAAAGGACGCCACATAGTGTGATGCTGTTTTGGCTTGGGTTTATTAGTCAAAGCAAATACATAAAATACTGACCATAGAATGATGGCCACATATAGTGGCTAGATGTCCATGTGCTGTAGCCCCCCTGACGCGTTTCGTGCGATGCACGTTCTCAAAGGGCGCAGGGCTTACAGCAGGACATCTGTTCCCATCTATTTATACATAGAAATGGCCACTCTGATTCAAGCGCTGCACCTATCGTTTTTCCTTTTATAGACAATAAAGTCTGTCTGTGTTGCTCTTCTCCTCATTTTCTGTCTGATGAAGACGTTGTTCCTAGGGAAAGGAAGTAAGGGGATATCTCCAGCATAGTGGTAAAACCTGAGTGGGAATCTAACCTTTCCAAACTCTTCCTAAAGCAAAACAAAAGTTAAGACTATAGATGTGATGTAAACATCAATGAACAGACTGACCCTTAAAAAATCATAAATTCATTTTACCCTTTTTTTTTTTCTAAATCTCCAATCATCAGGTCACTTGTGAACACAATAAAACAAAAACAATGCAGCTAGTTCTTCTGGGGTTTGGGAATCTCCAAGATCTGAAATATTTAATTTTTGTCTTGTTCCTAATATGTTATGTTATCATTATATTTGGGAACTCCTTGGTAATCAGTTTAATAACTACAAATAAAAAACTCCATTCACCCATGTACTTTTTCTTGTGCAATTTATCTGTTTCTGAGATACTCTTCACCACCATACTTCTGCCAAACATATTGTATGTTATCTGGGGAAATGGTGGGTCAATTTCATTTTATGGTTGTATTACTCAGTATTACTTGGGAGCATCGGTGGGAAGCAGTGAATGTCTTTTCCTTACAGTAATGGCCTATGACCGATATTTGGCTATTTGCAACCCACTGAGGTATTCAACCATCATGAATAACAAAATGCAAAATCACCTATCTTTGTGTTCCTGGCTTCCTGGATTTATAGCAATGGCCTTCTTAGTTATCTCCATCTGCAACTTAAAGTACTGTGGGTCCAATATTATTGACCATGTGCTTTGTGACCCGGTCTTGTTTTTGCAGTTGTCTTCTACTGACACCTACTTATTTGAAATTGTAGGTTCAATAGTCACCTTTCTTTTTTGTCTTCTCCCATTTACACTGATAATTTTGAGCTATGTCTCCATATTTTTCACTATACTGAGAATTCCTTCTCGGACCAGCAGACGGAAATCTTTCTCCACTTGCAGTTCCCATCTAGCATCTGTTTTCATGTACTTTGGAACAATCAGCATTCTTTATTTAGTTCCTTCTCAGCAGCATTCATTCACACTAAACAAGATTATGTCTTTGATCTACTCTGTTGTGAATCCGCTGCTAAATCCCATGATTTACAGTCTACGAAATCAAGAGATGAAGTCCTGCATAGTCGCATATTTTGCACCAAAAAAAACATGAATGTTTCATTTTAAACATATAGTTAATGTGAGGAAAATATAAAAAAAATAAATAAAAAATGAGAGGTAAAGGTTTCAAGATGATCAATCATGTTTACAGTGTTATGTTGTTGCCAAGAAGGAAAGGAGAACTGTAGACCATCTGAAGACATGTCCAGTGCAAGCGCATAAATAGACACATGCCTGCCAACGCACACATGGGCATCTGCTTTGTAAAAACCCAAGTCAAGTACCCAGTCAAGGTCTCTCCAATACCTACTGTCCTTATTTCTCATTTTTGGATTCCTACTCATGTGTGGCTTTGCCTATCTTCTGGTTGATCTTCATTCTATAACAGGGGTGAGGAAAATCAGCTGCAATTTAATCATAAATATGAAGGATTTTGAAGCATTTTTCCATTTGGCAAAATACATCAGTCATTGGGGGGAGCTGTGTGTATATATAGCCAATTTAATTTATTTATTTTACTTTTGGTAGAGTAGAGAATGAATGATTAGACCGGTCAGTTCATTTTTCTGTGTCTACATTCGATTTGGGTAGATTTACCTTCGCTTTCAGTTTTCCAGATACAGTAGGAAGTAAAAACAAATCTCTTAAAAACATCTTTGGCAGTTGTCACCAGACCACGTTTCCTTATCGCCAAATGTCTCCTCACCGCCTACTCTAGTGAAAGCCTCAAAATAAAGGATTTCCCATCCCATTCAGTAGAGGAGAAGATGATAACCAGAACCAACCTCTTTAGTGGGACTCAAACAAACAAGAAGCTTTACAGGGCTCTTGAAGGTTATGGAAGCTCCTTCTTGGGCTCATACTTTGACAAAAAAAAGTGAACCCTACAATTAACTCTAATTTTGTGTCGGTTGGTAACCCTAACCATGAATGTAACCATTTGTTTATAAACAAAATAATGTGATCACCATAATGGTGCTGTCATAGCATTTACTGTACATAGCTGGTCAAAACATTTTTCCTATTAAAAAAATAAAGGAATAAAAAATATCCACGTGATCAATAACTTTGTTGATTAATAAAACCATGTGTGTCCCACAGCATTACACGGCACTGAGGTCTTTTAGCTACGGACACTGTAAGTTCCTACCTTTAACTACCTCCCATCTGGCCTATAGTAAAATGATGTCCGAGCCTGAGCAGTGTTATTCTGGGAGCACGTCATATGTTGTCCTCCAAGTTGTGCGCCTTATGTGTGCCCAAGGGGTTCTGCAGCAGCCTGATCTGTCACCTGCTGAGCCCACCAGACACAACAGATGACAGCTCGTTGTACTGGACTGGTGCCATGCGATTGCTGTGATCAATCACAGTGTTCACATGTCAAATATATACAACGAATGGCTTTCATTCATAAATATCCATTGTATACTATATTGATCTATGTGATTGGTCACAGTGATCACCTAGTACAGACAGGGGCACTCACAGTGCACCTGCACCATGTGATAGCTGTGGACAATCACAGCTATCACAATTGTACATAATAGCGCATAAATGGATGCCATCCATAAAATAATTTCTTGTAATAGTGAACATAGCTGTTGTAAGCAATCATAATATAAAATTTAAAAAATCCTGATCACATCCGCAGAGAAGTATAGTGTCACTATGGTAATATTGCACTGCTCTGGTCACCGTATGATAAAATAATTGTAAATAAAAAATTGTAAAAAAAAATGAAAAATTGAAAAAAGAATATTATTATTATTGTTATTATTATTATTTATTTATTTTATATACTGTCACTCACCGGTCATATATATATATGTGTGTGTGTGTGAAAACGCTTATTTAATTTCTTCATTTTCCCCAAAATTGTGGAAACATTACAACTAGAGATGAGCGAAGTATTCAAAAATTCGATTCGACTGATTCGGCGAATTTGTGGAAAATATTCGATTCGAATATATTCGCTGTGAATTTAACTTAAAAAAGGGTGTTTTTCTAGGCTTCAGAGAGACTTAATATTAGTGGGTCACACTGTGGGCCCAGCAGCAGCGTGACCAGGCGGTACGGGGGCCCATGGCAGATTTGGGGCCTGGCAGCACCTATGGGAGGCCTGTAATCTGCCAGCAACCTATGACAAAATGGAAAACCGCAGGAGTGTGAGGAGACCTCAAAGTGGCACATGGCAGAGTGGGAGCAATGGGAGGCGGTACAGGGACCCAGGTCACACTGTGGGCTCAGCAGCAGCGTGACCAGGCGGTACGGGGGCCCATGGCCGATTTGGGGCCTGGCGGCACCTATGGGAGGCCTGTAATCTGCCAGCAACCTATGACAAAATGGAAAACCGCAGGAGTGTGAGGAGACCTCAAAGTGGCACATGGCAGAGTGGGAGCAATGGGAGGCGGTACAGGGACCCAGGTCACACTGTGGGCTCAGCAGCAGCGTGACCAGGCGGTACGGGGGGGCCCATGGCCGATTTGGGGCCTGGCGGCACCTATGGGAGGCCTGTAATCTGCCAGCAACCTATGACAAAATGGAAAACCGCAGGAGTGTGAGGAGACCTCAAAGTGGCACATGGCAGAGTGGGAGCAATGGGAGGCGGTACAGGGACCCAGGTCACACTGTGGGCCCAGCAGCAGCGTGACCAGGCGGTACGGGGGCCCATGGCCGATTTGGGGCCTGGCGGCACCTATGGGAGGCCTGTAATCTGCCAGCAACCTATGACAAAATGGAAAACCGCAGGAGTGTGAGGAGACCTCAAAGTGGCACATGGCAGAGTGGGAGCAATGGGAGGCGGTACAGGGACCCAGGTCACACTGTGGGCCAGCAGCAGCGTGACCAGGCGGTACGGGGGCCCATGGCCGATTTGGGGCCTGGCGGCACCTATGGGAGGCCTGTAATCTGCCAGCAACCTATGACAAAATGGAAAAAATGGAAAACGCAGGAGTGTGAGGAGACCTCAAAGTGGCACATGGCAGAGTGGGAGCAATGGGAGGCCGTACAGGGACCCAGGTCACACTGTGGGCCAGCAGCAGCGTGTGACCAGGCGGTACGGGGGCCCATGGCCGATTTGGGGCCTGGCGGCACCTATGGGAGGCCTGTAATCTGCCAGCAACCTATGACAAAATGGAAAACCGCAGGAGTGTGAGGAGACCTCAAAGTGGCACATGGCAGAGTGGGGAGCAATGGGAGGCGGTACAGGGACCCAGGTCACACTGTGGGCTCAGCAGCAGCAGCGTGACCAGGCGGTACGGGGGCCCATGGCCGATTTGGGGCCTGGCGGCACCTATGGGAGGCCTGTAATCTGCCAGCAACCTATGACAAAATGGAAAACCGCAGGAGTGTGAGGAGACCTCAAAGTGGCACATGGCAGAGTGGGAGCAATGGGAGGCGGTACAGGGACCCAGGTCACACTGTGGGCCCAGCAGCAGCGTGACCAGGCGGTACGGGGGCCCATGGCCGATTTGGGGCCTGGCGGCACCTATGGGAGGCCTGTAATCTGCCAGCAACCTATGACAAAATGGAAAACCGCAGGAGTGTGAGGAGACCTCAAAGTGGCACATGGCAGAGTGGGAGCAATGGGAGGCGGTACAGGGACCCAGGTCACACTGTGGGCCAGCAGCAGCGTGACCAGGCGGTACGGGGGCCCATGGCCGATTTGGGGCCTGGCGGCACCTATGGGAGGCCTGTAATCTGCCAGCAACCTATGACAAAATGGAAAACCGCAGGAGTGGAGGAGACCTCAAAGTGGCACATGGCAGAGTGGGAGCAATGGGAGGCGTACAGGGACCCAGGTCACACTGTGGGCCAGCAGCAGCAGCGTGACCAGGCGGTACGGGGGCCCATGGCCGATTTGGGGCCTGGCGGCACCTATGGGAGGCCTGTAATCTGCCAGCAACCTATGACAAAATGGAAAACCGCAGGAGTGTGAGGAGACCTCAAAGTGGCACATGGCAGAGTGGGAGCAATGGGAGGCGGTACAGGGACCCAGGTCACACTGTGGGCCCAGCAGCAGCGTGACCAGGCGGTACGGGGGCCCATGGCCGATTTGGGGCCTGGCGGCACCTATGGGAGGCCTGTAATCTGCCAGCAACCTATGACAAAATGGAAAACCGCAGGAGTGTGAGGAGACCTCAAAGTGGCACATGGCAGAGTGGGAGCAATGGGAGGCGGTACAGGGACCCAGGTCACACACTGTGGGACCAGCAGCAGCGTGACCAGGCGGTACGGTACGGGCCCATGGCCGATTTGGGGCCTGGCGGCACCTATGGGAGGCCTGTAATCTGCCAGCAACCTATGACAAAATGGAAAACCCAGCAGGAGTGTGAGGAGACCTCAAAGTGGCACATGGCAGAGTGGGAGCAATGGGAGGCCGTACAGGGACCCAGGTCACACTGTGGGCCCAGCAGCAGCGTGACCAGGCGGTACGGGGGCCCATGGCCGATTTGGGGCCTGGCGGCACCTATGGGGGCCTGTAATCTGCCAGCAACCTATGACAAAATGGAAAACCGCAGGAGTGTGAGGAGACCTCAAAGTGGCACATGGCAGAGTGGGAGCAATGGGAGGCCGTACAGGGACCCAGGTCACACTGTGGGGGACCAGCAGCAGCGTGACCAGGCGGTACGGGGGCCCATGGCCGATTTGGGGCCTGGCGGCACCTATGGGAGGCCTGTAATCTGCCAGCAACCTATGACAAAATGGAAAACCGCAGGAGTGTGAGGAGACCTCAAAAGTGGCACATGGCAGAGTGGGAGCAATGGGAGGCGGTACAGGGACCCAGGTCACACTGTGGGCCAGCAGCAGCGTGACCAGGCGGTACGGGGGCCCATGGCCGATTTGGGGCCTGGCGGCACCTATGGGAGGCCTGTAATCTGCCAGCAACCTATGACAAAATGGAAAACCGCAGGAGTGTGAGGAGACCTCAAAGTGGCACATGGCAGAGTGGGAGCAATGGGAGGCGGTACAGGGACCCAGGTCACACTGTGGGACCAGCAGCAGCGTGACCAGGCGGTACGGGGGCCCATGGCCGATTTGGGGCCTGGCGGC